CAAAAACGATTCACTCTTGATGAAGTGGATTTGATGGTTTATCTTTGCCCTCACCCAGCACAATGATGTTCCTTTAATTGGAAATAAGAATGTTGGTACTATAAAGTTCTTTAAAGGTTGAGAATGACTGTTTTTTTTTTCATGGTAGCTAGAAGAGAGAATTCAGGCTTTTCAGGAAAGAATGAAGAATTGGTTAACAAATAAGCATAGGTTTCATGTAGGTTTTTAAAAAGTAGTTAAATAACTTCAGAGGATAGCTAGCAGAAAGATACAGAACACATCCAAATCCTAATAAAACCCCATATTTATAATTTTTAAGAGTTATGAAGAAAAGGGTGTAATTTTAAATGAGGAATTGTACTTGTGGCAGACATCATATAAGCAAGCCATATGTAGGATACAAGATACTTTTTTGAAGCGTGTGATGACAGGAATAACTAGAAAAGGTATGTTTAAAATAGTATGAAAAATTATTACTTTTTTACTCAGTGCAGCTTTATACTTTATATGGGAAGGAAGAAACTTGTATGTAGTAAGTCTTAATATAAATAAAAATCTTGCATCTTGCTATATTACATTAAATCATGTTTTAATAAGCAAGCCTTGACTGGATTCACATGGCACACAAAGTCATAAGCCATAGATTACAGATCCACAGTTGCTGGGATGAAAAAGAAACTACACTGTGACTTATTGTGATGTGTGAACGCAGCCATTGTGAAACGTTGCTTCAGTAGAAGTAAGAATGGAGATGTGTCACTTGGCATCTAGAGAGAAAGGAAACAAAATGCTGATGTTTAGAGTAGTTTTATTTATTTATTATTTATAAAATTTATTGGCTGCCCATATTATTACAGGGTAACTCTGGGTGGCTTGCAAACACTCATACACACATTAATCCAGTGACAAATGGGGAGGGTGGGGCAGGACGGGAGGGAGGTGGGATCTGTTGTTACTCGATCAACCATCTCCACTGTGATGCTCCGTATTTGGGGCCCAAACTAACTGGCAGAGCGAGGTCTTTAGGCCCTTACAAAGATCAGGAGGGCGGGGGCCAATGTTCCAGAGGGCAGGTACATCAGCAGAGAAGGCCTTCTCCTGGACCTCACCAGCTGGAATAAATTGTAAAGTTGTAGTTTGAAGCACTTATAAGGGTTTTCTATCTTATTTCATAGTTTCATATTAAATTGTGGGGGTGCTATGTATAGACATTGGAATGTATTAGATCACGGGTGTCAAACTCGCAGTGTCACGTTGCCATCACATGTCGTTTCGTGACATTTTTCACGTTCGCCAAGCTGGGGTGGGCATGGCTTGCATGTGACGCATCTGGCCTGGCAGTTCAACACTCCTGTATTAGATGGTTGCATATATACCAGAGATGGTATTCAGCAGGTTCTGACCAGTTGTGGAGAACCGGTAGTGGAAATTTTGAGTAGTTCAGAGAACCGGTGGTAATCTTCCCCCAGGAGTGGGAAGGGAATGGAGATTTTATAGTAGCCATGTCACGCCCACCAAGCCATGCCCACAGAACTGGTAGTAAAAAAAAATTGAATCCCACCACTGATTTATATGGTTGATATTGCCTATTGTACAGCTTGTCTTAACCAGTAGCAAATTTATTACAAAATGGGGAGATAGTAGTGGTACAATTATGAGAAAGTGGTCTTTATCTGTAGCCCCCAAATGGTGAGTTTGCTTCATATACACCCAACATATTATTTTGAGGAGTCAGATTCTAAAATAGGTTAACAACATCATTTTACAATGAGGCTTTGTTATTGTTGTTGTTATGGGAATAATTAGTATTAAATAGAATATTACATTTCTATTTTTACATTTAGAAAAATACTGTACAAATAAATGTGCCATATCTATTTTACAAGCAGATTTTCCACCAAGTTGAACAATGAAATTTTTTAAAATAGTCACTGAATGTTCACTAGGAGTAAAAGACAATAGCTAAGATTTTTTCTTAGAGCTATTTAAATATTATATATGTAAATAGTTTAATAAAATATATTAAATATATTTCTTAGAACTATTAAAATATATTTAAATTACCCTTTTTCAGTTGAGATAATATTTTTACTGGGCTGGTGGAATAGCAAATTATTTTTTCTGAATAATAGAAAAATATTTTGATTTAAATGTATGATAGCAAATATGTCTTCTAAACTTATGTATTCACTACTTCAGTATTTTGGTAATAGCATTCTGCTGAACACAAGGATAAAATTTCAGATCATTAGTTAAATTTTTAAAAAGACGGCATTTAAATGCTTGCGTATACCTTTTAATTTGTTTAATGCTGATTAATTCAACATGTATCAATATTTTTCCATTAAATTAATTAGCAGATACTCTCCTCTATTTTATTACAACATATATTAGTAATTAATGACTGAAAGAATCATGAAAATTACAATATTATACATTTCAAGGCCTAGTTTTGCTAGAGAAAATAGTTTAAAAAAAGTTTGAGACAAGACTGGGAAATGAAAAATTCTTGATGTTGATACACTAGGCTAGGGATTAAGGTTTGGAACTAAAATGGGAAAAGAATAAAACAAAGTGCATTATTCTGCACTGTTGCCTTTATTCTACAAACAATTCAAAAGGGATCCACAGCTGAAAACAATGTACCAGTTCTATATCCATATGTAGCAAATATCCCTTATGCTGCCCCCCCACCAAAAGTAGCAACATTGGAAGAGGGGATTTTCAAACTACAAAAGATTTTTTGTAAAGTCCTGATTTGACTTGCCACACATATGCTTTAAAATGACAATAAGCATTTTAAAGAAAAGTAGCATTTGGGACCATTAAGTGGCACAGGATTTGGATTGTAGTCAATCCTGCTGGAGCTGAGCATGTGGTAGCCATTTTTTATTTTTCCATGAATTATCCTTACTGTTTCAGACATTTTGGGATGAGGAGAACACTTAAAATGAGATTTACATCTTCTACTAAACTATAATTGTGTTTTAGGTCTCGTGTGATATCTGAGTCGAGCTATGAATATATTGTGGTTTAAGATAATAAATCATATTTTTAATCTAACTTCTATTGTTTCCTGCACTTTTTCTTCTTTCTCTAATTTTTCTTTGAATGTTTCCCTATTTCTTTTATGTATCTAAAAATATTTAATTAATTTCAAAGAATAACCAATGTAAAGGTCTCCCTGATTCATTCTCTTTTCTTTTAATGAGAAGAAGACAGTATTTGATGTTTATGTTCCAATCTTCATGGAGCTGCATTTTGACACTGTCTGGCCCAAGTTGCAAAGGTGCAAAATTTGCTATGAAGTTTTCTGCTTGGACTGCAAACTGCACATTGTGTGGCTATTATTGTCCTGCTTTACTGTGGAAATACTGCTTTGCCAGCAGCCTGTCTCCCTATGATGTTGTGACACTCTATGTGCAAGAGTGTAAGCTGTTCTTAGGTGCATCCATGGAAAAATGATTGGACGACACATTGAAAATATTGATGTGCTAGGGTTGAGGGGATGGCACTGCAACATTTTTTCTCTCCAATAAATACTCCAGGGAAAAACATATAGGATCTTCTGCTAAAGTAGGACTAGAAAACTTCCAAGGTCCCTTCCAAGTCTGTTATTCTGTTATATAGCTACACTTGCGCTTGCAATTACTTGTGCTTTTGATATGATATATAGTCGTGGTTCTCAACCTATGGTCCCTGGAGCCCGGGGGGAGACGATGACAGGGGACATGATGTCATCACAGGGCGTCTGTGAAAGCTTGAAGAAATATTATGATTTAAAACTTGAGTTTTGGTGATCCAAGGCCATGGTCTGTGGCCACAAAAGATATTTAAAGGGAGGTCTGTGGTGAAGAAAAGGTTGAGAACCACTGATGCAGTGAGATAATTCATAAGCATGATCAGTTGTATTTTCAGTACATTCTGATTGAAAGCAGTGGAATTTTTTTTTCCTGTTGCTTCTCATCTGGAACGTAAATAAAAGGACAAGGCTGCTTTTACTGATGGCTAAGCCAGAGGTGTATTGACATCTGTATGTGCAATCAAAAGCAGCTGGTCCGAATGAGGTCTCATTTAAAATGAAATCAATATGTTTATATAAGTAGTTGAAACACTGTGTTTCTTAGTAAAATGTGCTAGTCCTTGTGTTACGACCAGATTTGAGCCCAAAATTTCTGTTGCTAAGTAAAATGATTGCTGAGTGAGGTTTTTCTCCACTTTACAACCTTTCTTGCTAGTTGTTAAATAAATCACTGCAGCTGTTAAGTTAATAACATAGTTGTTAAGTGAATCTGTCTTTCTCATTGACTTTGCTTGTCAGAAGGTTGCAAAAGGTGGTCATATGTCCCCAGGACACTGCAACTGTCATAAATATAGTGGAGTTGGGGGAGAGAAAGAAAGACTTTTGCTGCTTTCCTTGCGTGCAGCCAAAAGCAGAAGAAGAAAGAAGCGGAAAGAAGCAGCCCAGGGGCCAGGCGGGGCGAGTGGGGCAAGTTCCCCCCCTTTGCCTTTTCCAAGCTCCCCTCACTACCTCATGTTGTTCGCAATGCAAGCGCCGCAAACCTTGTGTTCCTGTGGGCCATGTGGGTGGCACAAGCCTTGTGTTCCCGTGCAGCCTGGAATAATTGCTTTGGGGGTGCTTTGGGGTGACATTTCTCTGAGGACCACTGTAATTTTCTCACGGACCAGTGGTCCCTGGCAACTGGCATGTATTTATGACAGTTGCAGTATTTTGGGATCATATGATCCCCTTTTGCAACCTTCTGATAAGCAAAGTCAATAGGGAAGCCGGATTCATTTAACAACTTAACTGCAGTGATTCACTTATCAATTGTGGCAAGAAAGGCCATAAAATAGGGCAAAATTCACTTAGCAACTATCTTAGCAATAGAAATTTTGGGCTCGATTGTGGTTGTAAGTCGAGGACTATCTGTACAAGTATTATCTTGTGTAACATTAAAAAGTTTCTGTCTAATTTATGTTTGGCTTCCTCTTCATAGATCCCGGTGTACCTCTGGGACCTGCAATGACAAGTCTGAATATTAGCCATGCAGAGAAAACCAGTGAAATGTCCTCAAAGCAGCCAGCGCCAAAAGTGCAGGTTCAGCGATCCATTTCCCGAGAAACCATCACCATTCATTTCTCGGCATTTGGGAAGGAGGAGGAAGAGGAGGAGGAAGAAGAAAAGTGTACGGAGAGTCCTCCTGAGACACCCGATGACCAAAGCATTGTCACTGCACTTGAAGCTAAGGAAGACCTATGCTTTGATCATGGTGAGCAAAATTCTTTTGTTCCCACTACCTCGCTTTTTGTGGCTGCATCTCCCACGGTTCTGCCAACTGTGAAACCCTTGGAGTCCCAAGGGTTTGGTGCGGTGCCATTGGCTGCATCACCCTCCTCAGATTTGGGCCAAGCCCCTAGCCCACTTGGTGTGGCATTGCCTTCAGAACTGAGAACCAGCCTTTCATCTTCTCCTCTGTGCTCCCCGTCCAAGTCACATGTCTTGTCTAGCACGCCAACCACTGTGACTAGCTCAAAGCCTTTCATGAGCTTAGTCAAATCCCTTTCCACAGACATTGAACCAAAAGAGCCATCTCTACCCACGAGACATAGACAGTTAATGAAAACTCTGGTGAAGTCTCTGTCCACAGACACTTCTAAGCAGGAGCCTGAAACAGTGTCGTTCAAACTACCCGACTCCAAATTGAACTTGCACCTCTTCAAACAGTTCACCCAGCCTCAAAGCACAGGTAGCGATTCGAAAACAGCTCCCTCATCTCCTTTGACGTCTCCAGACACTCGCTCCTTTTTTAAAGTACCTGAAATGGAAGCCAAAATTGAGAACACAAAGAGGCGGTTTTCAGAAGTGATTTATGAGCCTTTTCAGCTCTTCAGCAAAAGAATGAGTGATGAGAGTAGCAGCCACAAGCCCAAAGCTTTATCTTCAAGTGCTTCAGAACTGTCCAATCTCTCCAGCTTGAATGGCCATTTGGAAAGCAATAATAACTATAGTATAAAGGAAGAAGAATGTGATTCGGAAGGAGACTTCTATGGAAGTAATTCCAGTGTAAATAAGAGTACCAAAACCCAAACCACTGAAGGACACGCAAAAGAAATGGAACCTAGAGGCTCCCCGTTCTTAAGCACAAAGGATTCTAGTTCTAAGACTTCTCTGGTACTTGAACGCTGTTGTCTTTCCGCCCTGGCAAGCAAGGAAGATGAAGAGTTCTGTGAGTTGTATTCTGAGGACTTCTATTTAATAGATGATGACAGAGAAGACCAACAATTGGAGAGTCTGCAGAAGATAGAGGTACAAGAAGAAATTTCTACATTAATTAGAAGTGAAGGTGAATTTGAACTACCAGCACCACAAGCTAGGCTGCCGATGAAGACGCTGTACTTTCTCACCATGTTGATCTATGTTTACCTTATACTTCCTCTCCCTAGTTACTTCAGTGGACTTTTCTTGGGAATTGCTATTGGATTTATTATTGCTACCTGCGTAATTTGGCTTTTTACACCAAGTGCTACAAATAACAGGCGATGTTCCAATTGGAACAGCCAGATTAATGAAGAAGTTCTGGATATTGAGGAGCCTGAGATATTTAAGGTGAGTCACAGCTTTGCCTTGAAACTTCTGTAGTTGCGTATGTTGTTCAGACATGAACATATTAACAAACAGTATTGGGATTCATTTAACTCTGTGTTGGATTAAGACATAGATGGGATGCCAATTTCTTGCTTGAGCTGGTAGACTGTGATGAATTTAATTTATAGGTTTTTTTTTCCCTCAGAGTAATTTGTATATTTATCAGGCTATGGTTTGTTAGCTGGAAGATTAATGAGGTCAAATGATGGCTTTACTGTGATGACAGATTTCAATGTGTTAATCAAACCTCAACTTTATTATTTATTTATTTGACTCAATTTATACTCCATCCAACTCTCAACAACTCTAGGCAGCCCAGAAAATACAAAAACCATTAAACCATAACAACAAGGGCACAATTAAAGAGGAAGCAAAAATGACAACAATCTAGGCAAAGAGTCAGGTCTTCGAGGCCACTCAAAATGCCCATCTAGATGTTGGGAGGACCTCATTCCAAAGAGCAGGCACTATGAAAGAACAGGCCCTCTTCCAGACTCCTGATAGATGACATGGTTTAATTGAGGGAAATGAAGTTTGCCAATCTTGCTGGATCAAAGCACCTTGTAGGACAGGGGTGTCAAACTGGCAGCCCATGGGCTAGAGGCATCATGCACAAGGCCACACCCACCCTAGCTCCACAAAGGCAAAAATCATTGCAATACATCACCTGACATCACGTGATGTGATCAAGTTTGACACCTGTGTTGTAAAGGATAAGCAGTGCCTCAGGTAACAAGGCTCTCTGTCATGTAGGCTTTATACATAACAACCTGGAAAGCGAACAGGCAATTAGTGCAGCTTGTGGAACGGAAGTGTTCAATGGGCAAACTAGAGTGTAATAGTCAAGCAGGGAGTTGACCAGGTGACTAAGTGATTGAAGAGCCACCTGATCCAGGAAAGGGGTGTAACTCGCACAACGAATAACTTCGAGCAAAGGCTTTCCTACCCGCAGTTGCGCTTTGCTCATGAAGCAGGAGCTGGGAGTCCAGGAAGACTCCCAGATTGTGTATCACTCTTGAATGTGGAAGTGCTACTCCATGCAAGCTTAAAGATGGTACATTCTCAGACCTTGGTGGTCCAAACCATCCACAAGCATAAGGTAGTCCTTGAGGTATGTTCCTAATGGAGCCATTAGGGTTGTAAAACTGTCATAAAATGAATAAGACTCATTGTTACATCCATGCTCGTTAAGCAAATCCATTAGGTGAATGAAGATCAGGCTTGCTGATTCTTTCAGTTCTTTAAATGACCTCTGTGATCATTAAATGAACCAAGAGGGTAGAGATTTTTCATGGCTCCCTGTGTGGAGCCTCTGAGGGGAACCACTGTTGCCTGCCCGTCAGCTGTTCTGGCAAGGCAAAGCGATCTTCTGCTTCCAAATTGCAGTGCCTCCACGCAGGTGCCTGGACTTAAATTGGGGTGGAGGGTGAATTGCAAGACTCCCCAGCATGGAGCCTCTGGAGGCAACCACTGCCACCCACCCCATCAGCTGTTCTACAAGCAATCTATAGTAGTACACACTAATTCTCAAAACAAACACAGTAAAGTAGAATGCAAACTAACATTCTTGGAGTGAGAAGTTCCCCGAGGATGGGCTCCAGCACAAGTCTGAAAGCTCAAACGACTAAACCTCTGATCCCAGTGATTGACACAGATTGGATCCTGCAAAGGAACTTTCTGCAAGCAATCTCAAAGCACATGTAAACACAATGCATTAGAATGCAAAGGAACTTTACAGTTATTGAATCTGCTTTCTGCAGACACTGGCTAGTATTTCTGCAAGCAATTCCAAAGCAAGCACAAACAAATACAGTAATAAAAAAAACTCTTCAGCTTTGTAAACTACTTACAAATAAGCATAGTAGTTTGTAAAATACTTACAAACAAGCTCAGTACTATAATGTAAAAAATTTTTTAAACCACTTACAAAGGCAATTACAGTCCTCCAGTCCTCAAGGCAATAGCAACGAAAGAAGCAACAAGAGCTGCCACAAGAGATTCACTCCTCTGGTTCTCCTCGGGGCAGCAATGAGGAGAAAAATAAAAGCATGGCAGCGGCAAAGTCCCTGATGGGTAAAAAAAATGCACACTGCCACATGGACCTCGGAAATCACCTGTCTTAACCACAGGTGACTTCTGGGTCCCCAAAAGAGGTCACAGGACTAAATATGGCTGCCACTTGACTGAAGTGACTGAATCGAGGTCACATGATTGCAGAGGCCTCTTGTTGGTTGCAATTTTGAACCCCTGTTGTAAATACATTTTTCGGGTGCATTCATAACTTCAAATAGCCATAAAAGGGCTGTCATACCTCAAGGACTACCTGTACTGATGAGACCGAATCCCAAAGCAGTAGATGATCTTACCCAAAAGTTCCATATACTGTAGATCAGGGGTCCCCAACCACCTCTCCACGGACCGGTACCGGTCCATGGATCATTTGGGACCGGGCTGCCTACTTTGCTTCGGTGCCATCTTGTTCCGACGTGCTGGATCAAGCGCTGGTTTTGATGCCGTCCCTCAGCCTCGCTCGACCAAAAACGTCAGCTCCACGCTGTGCATGGCTGGAGAAAAGGGGGATGTGATAGCCGCGGAGAAGCTGCTCTTCCTAAGAAGGAGGCTCCCGATTCGCCGGGCTTACGCCAGGAGTTCTGCGAGGCTACGCTGCCGCTGATTACCTCAATCCCAGCCTGCACGAACTGCCCTCACCCTCTTCGGAAGCGGCCAGCGTCCTGGTCAAGGCTCTGGTGAAGCTCTTCTTCGATCACCTCACCGACACGTGGCTACAGGCCACTCAGGTGAGCAGCAGGAAAAGGGAGCTGGGCAGCCACAGACCAGCCGTCTCTCTGTCTGACGGCCTTGGCCGAATCTCTGCCTCCCAGCGCACTTGGTCCTCTGCCCGCAGGCTTTCCCGGCCCCTTGCCAAGCGGGTTTTCCGCCCCAGCCCGGCAGGGCCCTCGCTGCCATCCCCTCACCTGGCCGGCCGGGCTCCTTGGGCAACCCGGCTGCCTCATGCCGAGAAGCACGCTGCCAGGCGGGAGCCACGCGGCGCAGGGCAACATGCCACCGCCCGGCCCGGGAAAGCAGCGGGCACTCCCCAGGCGGCGGCCTCGGCCCCGCCACCAGGGAAGCGGCTGCCCAGCTCCGGAGCTGATCCACACCTGACCGGCTGGAAAGGAAGGGTGTGTAGCGTTGGTGTTGTGTGTGCGATTTCTTGGCGCGCGGCGTGGGGTCTCTTTTGGCCGGCCCCGATTTTTTTTTTCAGAGGGGAATATCATGCCTGCATTAACCATGATTATTAAATCCAGTCCAACTTTGATTATAATTAAATTAAGTCATAACTAGCTTTTCAATGAGTGGAATATATAATAAAAATAAATGAATAAATTTTAAAAAACCCTAACCGGTCCCTGGTACAAAAAAGGTTGGGGACCACTGCTGGAGATATTGAAGAAGAAGGAAGAGCGAGTAAAATCCCCAAGCACTCTAATATCTACATGGTCACAGACCAGTCACTTTCCATGCATAACCTTTGCTTTCCAACAATTTTCTTAGTATTCATATACTTTTTCAGATAAAAATGAACGCTTATGAAGACTTATATCTTTATGCAAAACATTTTTTTTATAAATTGTTAAGTATAGATTTATCCCATCCTGTTTTGGGACTTCACACTCACTATGTTTTTTTTTTCAATCTCACAAAAAATAGTACGGCTTTTTATTAGCTTGTCCTTCCCCCTGTTCATTCCAAAACCTCAGATGAAATAGAATTGCATATCAATACTTTTCACGTTCAAATTTGGCTCTTTTGATTAAATATTTGGATGTCCCAAGTTGCAGCCAAATGGAATATCAGCAGTCTTTAGAGATTATTTTGGGAACAATACTGCTTTTCACAGCATTTAAGCTTGATCCCTTTATTCATATAAGATTTTTTTCAAAAAAAGATTTATATTCCTAACTTGTGACTACAACATGGTAACAACCTGGCATCATATCTGTATTTTGGCAACACACAAGCTGTCGTATTTATGTTGCGAGATTCTATGGGATGCTAAATTGAAGTAGACTAGGTCTAGAAGAGATGGTGACTACTGATTAAAAGGAAGGGATTTACAAATAATTTATGTAAAGAATGGGCAAATTAAAGCCCTCCAGGTGTTGCTGAGTTCCCAGCAGTTGTAGCCAACAGGGCCAATAGTTAGAAGTTCCTGGAAAATCTAATACAAGAAACATCTGGAAAGCCACACATTATTCACTCTTCATTTACTATAATTATAACTCACACAGTATATTTGTAATATTTGATAAATGTTTTAATTAACTATAGTTCATACACTTCTTAAATACTGAAGGTTTATGCAAGCAAAGGCATTAATTTAATCTGTGTACTGAAAGTTAATTCTAGTATATTCTTTATAAAAAGGCTTAGAATCTTTTCTCCCCCTCAAAAGACTGTTCCAGTGGTGCCCATGATTTGATTTTTAAGAGGTTGATGCAATTTGTATAAATGCATTGTTCAGTTTTCCATGTTTCTGTGCTAAGCCTGATTTGCAGATTTTCTGGGGCAAAAATAGAAAGTTCTGCCTACAAGAGTGTTCTCCTTAAACAGTATCCCAGGATACTATTTTAATGTCGAAAATGATGGTGTTTCTTTTTGATAGATGTGAATTGCTATTAAATTTTATGAAAGAAAATGTAAAATCATGTTTTGACTTTGTGTTTCTTTTCTCTGTATGTATCTTAACCACTTGTTATTTTACGTGCTCTTATCATTAACAACAAGGTATTCCTCTCAGGTTCTGTATCTGCTATGTATCATATTCTGTTGCTCTCTCAGCTTTGCTTTTGTCCTTTGTGGCTGAAAAGCATTGTCCTTTCATCACTCTGGAAGTACCATGGAGCTATTAATCTGGTCAGCTTCTGTATATAGAAGTACTGCTGGTATTCCCATGTTTA